CCCCCCCTCCGGCCAGCCAGCCCTCTCCCCCTCCGGCCAGCCAGCCCGCCGGCCAGCCTCGCCAAGGTAGCTCAGCGCTGCTTCGTCGGAGCTTTAAGTTGGGGTTTCGAGAAAGGAGGCAGAATTAGCCAAACAAGATAATGAAGGTTGCTCATAATGGTTTTTACTGTGGGGAAAATTAACCAGTTGCTAATAATTGTATGGTCTCTAGGCCAGACGGTCCCTTTGATAAGTTAACATGTACTCCCTTTATGCTCCTGGTAGGGGGTAAACAAATGCCTGAACAAATACAAATACACATAAACACAAATGTGGAGAATAGCAGTATATGTCTTAGATCCAGATAATAAGTGTGGGTATTGTTATTTAGATGGCGCATACTGGGACACTTATCTTTTAGTACACTCCATTTTCTAACTGAATGCAGTGCTAATCGTGGGATTGAAAGCTATTGTAATTGTGTACCCATCTAAATGCTGACAAGAATATACAATTACATTGTTTGGAATTGAGTTTAATGTTCTCTGAATTTTATTAGCATTTATATTTACTTATGCATTAAAATTCTATACAAAAAGAGGTCAGAATACAAGAGTTATAGACATAAATATCAGACCCATCCACACCCTCACTGTATTTTTCCTGAAAATACTGAACAAATTTATTTTATTTTTAAAGGAAGTGATAGAATCTGAAATGAGCAAATAATGGGTTTCCATTCTAAGCAATGCCTTTTCTCCCTCTGGATTTTGCAATCTTTTAAAGCTTTTTTCATACCCAAGTTTTTATTATTATTTATAATGTGCGTGTTACCGGAAAGTCTTTCCACAGTATGCTTGCCACCACACGATGTTTAAACACGCATTATAAAGTGGATGTAATTGTAAACACTCAGAGGGATATAATTACATGTAGCAGATTTAGGAGCTAATTCTTTGCTTCTCTCTCTCTCTTTCTCTCTCTCTCTCTTTACTCTGCATTTTATCAACATAATTATTTTTTGACTGCAGACTAACACCCAGAAATTGACAGGCATCCATTATAGGCAGCAACTTGTTCACCAAATTGAAAAACAATGAACTGCAGGTTTATATGTACCCATTGTCATACAGAATTACCGGAGCTTTGTTCCACAAGAGGAAAAAGCTAATGGTTTTGAAACAGCAGGTGACAAAACACATTCTTTTTTTTTTTTTTTTCCCCTCCCCTCTTATCAGTTTGTTTGATGAAGTCATTACGAACTGGGGCCCAGAATAGGGTTGGCCTTATTTTTAGCAGATAGACTTTTAATGAGTTCTATTGTGGAGACAGTCATGTTGATTTGCTTACATTTTTTTTTCCCCCCCTTCACTCAGAAACTCCCAGTATTGAAAAGCTACTATCAAAGGACTGGAAAGACAAGCTTCTTGCCATGGGATCAGGGAACTTTGGAGAAATAAAAGGTAATGCTGTTTCTGTGCTAAAGCAAACTGAGAACGAATATACAGGTATTACTGGCTTTATGGAACTCTGTTTGCTCCTCTTCCTCTCCCCTTGAAACATCGTGATTTGGGGTTTAAATGAAATATATGCTCTCCATCTGCGATAATACAAGTAAACGAAATGGTATATTGCCCTGAGTGAATTAAGTTAGGTAAAGCTTTTGTTGCATATATCATTCTGTGTTGCATGAGGACACATCCTATTGCTGAATTGGAAAAAAAAAAAGTCAACTCATATGAAACGCAGGCTTATCAGAGTATAGCAGAGCTCAGCTTTTGAAATGTGAGGCTGTTCAGAAGTCCTTGTTAATTTTTGGACAGATTTTGATGATGTAGATTTTTTTTTAACTTTTCTGCGTGTAGGGAAAAAAAAATAAAAGCGCAAAGTTTGTGTAATGATACCTCTAGGTACCAAAAATAGCTGGTGCAGATTTTAAAAGACAGCGTTACAACATCTGTGCACTAAAACATGTTCTTTTAAAGCCATACTCCAGAAGGAAAATGACAAAATTTGACCACTCTCCAGCAGCAGTAGCTTCTGTTTTGCCAAGATGTTTCCCCATTTTATATATGTGAGGTCATTTTAGGGAACCTGTAGTTGTTTGTTTTCATGTAATTTAATATTTTTATAATTCTTCCTCAGTGCTTGTGACGAGGAACTGACTCAAAGTACATCTGTGTCAAGAATTTTAGTTTTCAGAGCAACCATTATCACTCTGAAAAGAAACAGTGACTCTGATTCTTCTCCCGTTAATATCAGCGTACATCTGGAGTAGTAAAATCCAAGCCAATGTTGTTTTGGAAATGTGAAAGTAGAACGAGATTAAAATTAAAACCTTCTTTAGTGTTTATAAAATGGATTTCACTTCTCTCCATTATTTTTTGTTTGCTTACTAATGTTGTCCCTGATACCGAGATCCTCATTCAGGCAGACTCCCAAACCTTGTGCCTGACAGTTTTAAGGAGCTTCTGCGCAAGAGAAGAGGTGGGCAGTATGTGATAAAGAATACAACATGATGTGCTCTCAGAGGTTAATGTATTGGTACAGGTGCAAAGATAGTGTTATTTTAATTATATGTGCCTTCCATCTTCTCAGTGATAAGCCACCAGCATTAGTTTGTGCTAGTCCACTGACTTAACACAAGTAGGAAAGTATGCCACTTGCTTCCCCTAGCTTCTCCCTAAGAGGCTGTAATTCAAAAATATATATTCATTACATATGTAGAATAACTTTATAACAGAATATAGTGCTTCAGCCCCAGATAGGCTGAGATGATGTTATTATTATAACATCACCAAACGCTGGGTTCTTTATTCCCGCTGAGCACATTTTCTCTGTGTGTGTAAAGCAACAGGCCATAAAGAGGTAGGGTAGCCACTGGGCTTATCTGCGTGTTCTGTTTTATAAAAGCATATTGTTTTAAAATAACATCATTGTCTGCCATGAACTGATGAATCTTTAAGATGTTTCAGACCCAAAGTGCACAGGCAGCTTTGGTATCCCCTTTTGGTTGTGTATTTCAGCAGTTCTAGCATGTTGCCTGGAGCCTCTTTAACTCTTGATAGGCTGGAGCCTTCCAAGAAGGACTCGTGGTGATTCTCCTCTGCCTTTGGACCCTGTAAAGGTGCTCTGAGAAGTGCTGCGCACTGAGAAGGCAGTCTGTTCCCAATTGCTATGATCTTGTTCTGTTGGAGGGCAATCTTTTTTCTCGCTTCCTCTTTTTCCCTTTCACAAGCTAAACTTGAAAGCAGCAGCAGCAGCTATATGCTAGCACGAAAGAAATTCAACAGTCCTTTCAGTCTTGCCCAGGGGGAGGATAGGGAGCAATAGCACAGCCTCAAAGAAGATTTTTCTTTGCTTTAATTTTTGTTTTTTAGCTTCATATTTTGAACACAATTCGAGTTATTGTTCCGTAGCTCTGTTTGAAAGCTTCACATCTGAGGCTTTTTTAGCGCAACTGTGGTTCTGTGGTTGGGGGCATGGTTATTAGGTGTTTGGATCAGGTTTGGCAGTAAGCTGTGAAAACAGGCACTGGTTTATTTTTCCTACTGACTGCCGTGACAGTTGCAATTATTGTCCATTGTTCCTAGGTGGCTAGAAAGGAGGGAGGATACAATAGAGCATTGCCCTCTGGGGGTAAATGAATTTGACTTACAGGTTCTTGGGGGGTCAGGCAGTCTGATTATTTAGTGCCCAAGAATGCGGTTTTCATGGCACCGCCAGCCATGAGCAGCCAACAAACAATGGCTCAGCTGTATTGCAGCTGTATTTAGTGAGACAACATGAAAGGTGTGCAAGTTGATCTGCTTTATACTCACATATGCATGTACAAACACACATACGTTACGCTAGAAAATGTTTTTGTCCTTCTATAGGAACGTAGAGTTATTAAGCTTTCCAGTTGTGATTTTTTAATTAACTTCTCTTTATATTTGGCCTGGCAGCTGCATTTTTTCCCCCTCGTTTCTCTATTAGTGATATTTGGAAATCCTGCACAAGTAGTGTCATATTATTAATAGACCCTGGAACGTGGACAGCCCTAGAAGCTGTACTGCCCAACTGTCTTATGCACTGAATAGTTTTTTCCATTTAACTGTTCAAAATTTCATTGTGTTTTTCATTAGATCTGGGGGAGTTTTAGTATGTCATGTGCTAAAGTCTCAGTACTAGGCTACATATTGTTAATGCCCAAGTCTGTGTTATTACCATTGAGTTTTATTCTCTGGGAGAGATTAAAGGAAAGGGAGATGAAGCGGAAGACTTTATTTTCTATTAGTGTTACTTCTTTTAAGTTAGAAAGCAGTAATATTTTATTAAAGATAGGGGAGTTGGCAAATGGCTAGAAGTCACCAGACTCTCACGTTTTTTATTCAGTTGTTCCTCTTAGTTGAGCTGTTACTTTCGGCAACTACTTTAATCCCCCTTTCTTCTTCATCTGTATGCCTGTAAAATGGGAGAACCATCACTGACTATCTTTAGAGGTCTAGCCGCAAACTTTGAGACCACAGTTAGAAGGATCTATATATGTCCAGTTACTAATGGAAAAGGAAATGTAATATTTTGTTCCAGGGCTTGACTGAAAGGTACTGCAAGTACTTTAAGGACTCTTATACTTAAAATGGGGCAAAATCGAGAGCCTTTCATACCTGTAGAATTTTTAACCCAGATGCCTCTGTTCGTTTAGAGAGATAGTCTGGGACTAAATAAATAATACAAGTTTGGTACTGGGGATTTCTTAAGAAAATTTGTTTTGAAATCCATGTAATTTTTACTCTGTTCAAAATGAGTTAGTCTAAACATGCTGTTAAATTGAAGTATTTTAAAGTAAAGCTGTGAAACTATTGAATCGGTTAGAGCTTGTTCCAGCTTACTTGTATCCATCATATTCAAGAGCAGGGCTCAAAAGGCCACTGGGTTTTTCTTGGATAATGCAGTTTATTGGATTCAGTAGAGCAGGAAGAACTTCAGGTCTCAAACCGATCATCTACAGGAAGGAAAATTACACCCTTTTTCTGCTTTCAGTGTAGCCACTGGATATCTGCATTTCCAGGTGAAAGTGCTTGCTTTCCTCCAGAGAAATGTCACTGACTGCAGCAGACGCAGCATGTAGGTTGGGCTGTTGATAGGAAAAGGTGTAAAGAAGTGTATTTCAACACTCTTCAACGTCAGTGGCCATCCCTGTAGTACTTAGAAAATTAACATGAAACTTCAGTTTCACTGGTGTGGGGCCTCCTCTGAGCAGACTCCAGAGAGCAGTGCTGGCCGCCCAGGTGCATTGTTAGGTGCGAAGTCTGGCTAACACTGATGCAGCTTTAACCATGATGAGAACTTGTTTTTTTAAAACTTCCTCAGTGTACACAAAGCTTTTCTGCTAATCTTGTCCATCTCTTGCTTATCGAGAGTTGTCAAGAAATAATAATGCATATTATATATGTTCTTCACTTAGCTAATTTTGAATAGGTGTGTGGAACAAAAGGCTAAACTGACTTTTGTTTCTAATCTTTCTGAGTTGGTTTTCTGTTGAAGGCATTGTTAACAGTGATTGTGCCTGAATCGCTCAAGAAAGACTGGGGAAGCCTGAACTTGGACTTCTTTTGTTGTTTGAAAATCCTGTTCTGTTGTACAGGTTAGTTCCTAAACAACTCAGGTGAAGTGTTTTCTGCACTCACTGTGGAAGGGATGATCACTGGGGTAAAATCATCAGTTCCTTGTATCTACTTAAATCTGGATGACTCCAAACACAGTACTGGAGTAACCCCAGATTGTAATTGAAAAACAAGTTTAGTTTACCAATCCTAATCTTTAATGCAAGATAGCACAGACATTTGTTTTGTGCAAGGAACTGGGCTCCAAGTTATGTGAAGTATCAGTGCAGTATCAAGCTGTGTTTGATGTGTGATAGAGCTGTGTTTGCTTACATGTACAGAAGATGGGGCATGAGAGAGTGCACAGTGAATGGTCTTACAACTGCCAATAATGGATAAAGAGAAATAAGCCATTCAGTGATACTATAGCTCATCAGAATCCATGAATTAAAGACATATGTTATGTAGATTCAATGTATGGATTAAAACGGATAATCTGGTAGGTGACACACAGAATCTTGAGGTAAGTGGGCTATGCAGATTCGGTATATGGATTGTAACGGATAATTACATTTAAGTAATGCTGGACAAGTTGAAGACAAGTAAGATTTGGGTAGTGCTTAGGTTATGTGCATTAATCCAGTGAGTGACACTTTGGATCACATAATCTGTAAACTGAAGACAAGGAAACTGGGGATTCCACATTTAGATGTGGACAGGAGGAAGGAGGGGGAAGGGGAGAAAGATTATTCATGGGGAATGCACTGGGTTTAAACCTTTGACTAATAAAGCACACATCCCCCGGGAGATGTGTGAAAGCTGTGCACTTTCTTAGGAACTGTGTGAATTTTGCATTTACAAATTAATGGTTGAAAAATGTTTGCAAGCTTGGATCAGATCTGGATGTTTTGCATTAGTTTTTGTGGATAGTATTGTATTTGGAGTGGGGAGAGAATGAGGGTGAGAGTCGTAAGTGAAGGAGGTAAGAGATGTCTGGTTGTCGGCTTTTAACTGTGATAAATTCAGTATTTATTGCAACCTACTTAGTATCTTCGGGGTGGGGGTGGGGGGGCTGGCTTGTTTAATAGTAGCAAATTGCCGACAGTGAGTTTTAGTTCTTTGACAATATTTACAAAGTGCTGGGGGGAGGGAACCTGTGCAGTGGCACACAGGGGAACCTGATTTTTGAGAACAAATCTGGCAACTGCTGATCCAGTGGAGTTGATCACAATGCAATATGATACTCTCGGGCTGCAGAGTAGACAGTGTCAATTGAGCCACACCAACGCAGAACTTTTCAGGCCAAATGAGAGCCTGAAATAGAGATTGTGACTGGATGGAGCTGCTCCTATTTGACCTTAGAATGGGAGGTTAGTTGAAGGTAATATCTGTGGAAGGGTGGTTGGAGGAATCTTTTTTAAAGTATTTAAAAAGCAAAAATGCAAATTTGTGACAAAGCAGCAAATTTGGGTTTTTCTGATTTTATATTTTTTTATTGTAAAGGTACTTGATCAGAAAAAAACAGGTTCTATTTAAATCAAGTACAACTTCTATTTTTAAGAAGTGATTATTAATAGAGAAAATAGAATAAAATTGAACTAATTAAAATAGCAAATGCCAATGGCTTTATTTTGTTTGAACATATGGAGGCCAAACCACTATATTTTAAAATGGTCAGGAGGGTTGGATGACAAAAGGGACCTAAACCAGTTATTCTTTGTATTAAAATTACTTGAAAGATGTGTTGATAGAGATAAGGTTGCTGAGCTACAACTACCAGTTTGTCAAAATAAAGCAAATATACATACACATATGTATTTTTTACTGGTTTTCCTTCTGCTGCATACCATTCCAGAAGCAAATGCTATTTCTCTAGCCTAGTTCTAGCTTGTTGTCTAGACAGTAAAACAATGAATAAACTCTGAGAAATAGTCTCAATACAAATGTTGTCTATTCCTTTTGTAACCTTGACAATAAGTTACTAACCTGGTTGAATACCAAGCTTTGTTTGTAGTCTACTGTACCAAAACTACTTCTGGCAGCAAATAAAGAATACTCAGTGACAACTTCTTTCCAGCATTGCGAAATAATAATGTGCTGGTCTGTTACAGAGCAGACGGCTAAGTTTTTGTCCCCACAGAATATTAATTCTTAAGGATAGTAATGGCAAAAGATGGTAATTGTTCATAATTTGTTTTTACTCATTCTGCAGAGTCTTCCACTAAAACCTAAAAGAGTAAGACTGCCTGTATGCTGAAATAAGTAACTTCTAGCTTGCTGTTCTAAAACAGATTTTTGTTTGTTAAACTGAGAAGATTCATTGTATAAATCTGTAGATACAGACAAACCAGTTTGGATTCTGGGCTTTTTCTTCCCTTGTTTCTTTTTCTGGTGGCCATGATTTGTGGAGTAAAAAGCAGTCAGAAAGTTTTCTTTTATTATGCTGACTTCCCATATCACTCAGATGAAGTAAATTAATTTAGCAGGGTAGGTAGTTGCAAGTGATGGCAGTCATTGTGTAGTAAACTTGGCTTAAATACTTAATGAAAAATGCCAGTTTTCAATGTTTATGTCCTGACAGCTCCAAGATTTGCTGACCTGAATAGCTATGTGCTGGTCCATAATAGAAGACAGTCTGAAGTATTGATTAGGGAAGCATCAAGGGACTTTGCACATGTGCGCAAGCACATAGCCACATCCACACACCAATACATATCAGCAAGTACATAACTTAAGGTATATACTTATTGCTTGGTAATAAACATTTGAGATTCTGTTCTAAGACACAGGAAGGAAGAGTTTACATTCTGAATTTACCTCAGCCAGTTAGATTTGTTTATCAGACTACGTTTCCTGAAGGCACGTAACATCAGCTCTGATTGCCTTACATATAGAACTTGGGGTGACGTCAGCAGCACAGCTGTCTGTGCAGCAAGGAGCAAATATTCGTCTTTAAAATTATTGTTATAAATAGATATTTTTTTTTTAGGGGGAGCATAACAAAGATTAGTTTTGCTTTTAAGTAGGAGACACCTAGGTGGCCTGTCTATATAACTTTCCTCATTGCCTTACTGAGCAGAGTAAGGATACGTTTTGATTTCTAACGTGGTAGAACAAAGTTAAAACTGGTATTAGGAGTGGGGAAAGAAAAATAGTTGACAATGGGACAAGGCTGAAACTCAATAAAAGATACTTCTTTTATGAATTGCTGATATTTTTATTTATTCTTTGGCTATAATAATGTTAGTGCTAGTAGGAGTTTAATTCTTCTGAAGACAGCTTAGTTAATAGACTGTTCAGTTTAAAAAACCTCAATAATCGCTTCATTCATAGGGTCCCTTTGTTTAGAATCCTACCAGTATCAAGCAAAGATTTAAAAAAATACCTATTTAACATGTATCCCCGTTAAAGTCAGTAGGGAAATTCTTGGCGTTACTGAAATAGTTCTGCTGGTGACTTCAGGGAGGCCATCAGTAAAATGACTTAAAATGTGTGAAGTTAAGAATTACTTTAAGCAAGTTTCTAAAAACTTCACACCTCAGTTCTCTCTTTAAAAATGTAATGCATACCACTATATTTCTACCTGCTCACAGTCTTTAAGGAGATCAGTTAGCTAATGCTTTGAAATTTTAAAATGCTCTATACTGCACGCTCTAATTATTATTATGCATCTTAACATTATTTGAATACAGGGTACTTCAAAATATTCTTATTTCCATTTATTGAATTTTTCCCTGTACAAAGCTTTGTAGGTACAGGAGGATTTTTTCTCTTTTGTAACCACAGTTAATGATATGAACGTAATACAATATTATTGTGTCTTCCAGGCTTTGTACTCACACATTGTTTTCTTTGATTTTTCTTTGAAAGACAGATGCTGACAGTTCAAAAGCTGTTTTTGTAATTACTTTGATAGTAAACTGACTCGGGGGATAAATTTCACTGTCTGTATGGGTGTGTGTGAGTGTGCATGTGCGCACCCTGATTGATAACATTCCTAGCAGTTTAATTGAGAGATGTCAGAGGGATTGAGGAGAGCTGTGCCATGTCTCTGCCCCTTGCAGAAGATGCTGGGTGCGGCGTGGCTGTGAGCAGATCCGCAGGCTGGCTGCAAGCAGACATTCTCATCACTTGAGCATTCACGTGAAAAGCTTAAAATGCCTGTTAAAGAAAATATTGGCTTTCCTAATTTCTCATTTACATTCTCATTCTGTCTAATAAATTATAATAAAGTATTTACTGTTTTGATTGCAAAAGCAGTTTCTCTGCCTTTTTTTTTTGCTTTGGTTCTGTTTTGGGTGGATATGCCAAGGTTTCTCCTGTTCGTTTTCTCACTTTAAGTGTGTCATTTGGTCATATTGGTGTCTTCATTCTAATGTTTATTAAAATGTTACTGTCACTGCCAGTCTGAGACTGTGAATCAGAACTAAGAATGTGTAATAGTTTATTTCACATATGAGTAAATTTCTTTTACTACTTAAACACTATTATGGATAGTGTTGATCTGAGATGAAGTTTAGGTTTGGCGATACAGAATGCCACTAATTTGAGTCTTCTTTTATTGCCATCTGCTGTGGGTGTTGCATCCACAAATGTGGTGGGTTGTTTTTGTTGTTTTTTTTTTTTTTTCCCAAATCTCTTCTTGTGGTGGTAGAGAATAAACTCACGCATCTGGAAAGTGTCTTTTCTTGGGCACTGGTTGATTGATTGTATCAACCAGTAGTGTATGTATACTTGGATGCTCTCTTGCTTGAGTTATTTTTGATAATTTGTGAAAAGTCTGCATTTTGCCATTGCAGTGATAGAGTACAGAGAGAACAGTATGAGCACCTACAGCAGTCTCCTGAAAGGCAGGTGGTTAAAAGCTTTGTTAAACATAAAATGTGTAATATCTATTTGTTGTGGATCTGATAATAATTAAGAGTAATTTTTGAGGCAGCCATTGATAGAACCCACACTCCTTTTACTCCTCACTTAGTGCCAGTGTGAAGTGGTCTAGCTTGCTGTCAGGTTGTACACTACAATAATGGGCACTTGTTTTTAATCACAGCCACACTGCACAGCTAGAGTGAAAGCACTGCAGCTGTACAGATAGTGTGTGGAGTACAGGCCAGCTCCAGAATCATTCCCAACTCTCAGCTATTTGGAACAGCTCTAAGTGAGTTTAATAATGAAGCAGCTGAAGGTAACTGCTGGAGCTAGTGGCTTATCCTCACTAGTGTTTGCACCACCTCTCAGGTTCTATCAGTGTTAGCAGCCACAGGGTTAGGTCATTAATTCCCGAGTGGCATAATTTAAGAAACTCTCTTTATGCAGTTGGTGGTGTAGTTACTTAAAATACTGACATGTTTTGCCCTGTAAGCTACACAATTCTTAAAATGGAAATCCTTTAGCTGCCAAGACACTTCACACAATGATAAAGGTTTACATCTCATGCGGGTTAAGAGAGAAAATAGTGGTGATAGGACAGGAGTCCACCACCATTGCCTACCCACAATCTACAGCCTTTAGAAAGTAGTACAAAAATGGCAACTGATGCTCTAACTTTGCGGTGTATTTTAATACACCAGAAAAAATTCCTGTCACTGAATGTACTTATATAGTGACCAAGCTGTTGCCCACAGCTCACCATTAAATAATTTAATAACGTTAAGTATCGTTTGGCCTTTATTTGTTATGCAAACCAAGTAATTTATGAATAGTAACTATGAAATGGCAATTTTGTTGGCCATTTTCACAAAAGAAAGTATAGGTAATAAGGTTAACATAAAATATTCCAAACTTAAACTAAGTGCAAGCACTTTATATTATGATCCAAATAGTGTGATTCAAGTACTTTTCTTCTTTTTACACTTTTTACAATTTTCACACTTCAGTAATCCACCAGTTGTCTGCAAGAAACCTCAAAACTGCCTGTGATTCATTGGCAGTGGGGCTTGATGTGTGGGTAAGGCAAGAGGAAATCTACCTCAAAATTCACTCTCTCCAAGTAGACCCACACATCTGATCTCTCTTCCCTCTAGTTTTGTGCAGATCACTGGAGAGTATGGCTATCCGCGTGCTTACTTCGCAAGGAATATTATCTTAAAGAAGTATAATTAAGTATTATTGAAGCTATCAGAAGGACACTCTAATCACATGAAAATAAAGTTCCTACTAAGCCACATTTTCCAGAAAGTATTCTCTAACAAAAGATTTTTTTTTTAAAGCTGACAGTGATAAATTCTCCCTTTTGGTTTATTAGCAAACTGAAACTGCTCAAAAAGTATAATGCAAGAAGGAAAGCTTTTGTCAGACTACTTCCACTCCAGTTTATAAGCCAAAGGATTTATGTATTGTTTTTACAAAGTTAGTACATAAAGCACCTCCTTTGGGAATCTCACATTTTTTTTTAAACTGAGTAATAATCAAGAGATTGAATTTAGTGGATTTGTTCCCAGCTGTACAGCCACAGAGTGCCTGCAACTCCAGTGTCTGCACTGGCGCTTCTTTGCCCTGACCACTTGCTTGGTTCATCTAGACTTTCATCTTGTTCCTGCCATTTAAATAAAGATGTCGTTTTCCTGGGGAAGAAGTTTTTTTCTTCCCTTCAGGTAAATCGGCATAAATAAGTGGATGGCACCGTGGTTGTGCGGTTGTTTTGTGTTGTGGTCAGGGCAGTTGGCACGTTTTTGCTCACTCTCGGGAAGCCCAGCCTAAGCTCTGGAACACAGAGCTGGATATCAACATTTCTTTTTCAGACACTGTTCGTAACTAACTCAGTGACCCCTCTGTCTGTCAGTAACACATACAGAAACATTTTTCCACCTTTCAGAGGTGTGGTGGGAATTAATTTAATGTTACAAAGTGCTTTTTTGATTCCCAGCTGAAAGCTACTGTAGGAACTGAAAATAAACTGATGAACCAGTACTGGCTGAAGATCTTTGATGTATGTCAGTGCATTTGTCAAGTTTATTTGACAGTGATTTCTTTTTGCTTACCCTAAGTTTAGGACTAAGCCAGTCCTGTATTCCTTCTCTCTCTAGGCCTTTACTCCCTCTTGTGCACACCAAGTTTGGACTAAAATATCTGCTGAATAAATAATTACAATATTTAGTTTTCAGATGTTTTGGCGTGTCCAGTGAGTTATACTGCCAGTATCAGGAAACTGATAGCATTTATTAGATGAGAGTTACAGTAAACTGACATGCTGGCCATGGGTAGGACAAGGAAGGGGCTACCTTCTAGAATAGTTCTACTCTTGGAATCACTGCACCCTTTTTTTCCTAGGAAAACACAAATGAAAGATGGAGGAGTGGCAGTAGACATTTCTGATTAGTTGTATGGCCAGGTGGCAAATGCATTACTTGTAGCAGTTCTTGTCTCCAATGTTTGAAATAAAAATTATAAGTTAAATGTGTTTTCTTCAGCAGTCTTAGTATTTTAGCACTGGCTTCCATTCTTTCTCACAGCTTTTAACAGAACAGGTTTAAAGTCCTATGGTTTCTGTTTCAGTGTGTTTCTCAAGTTTCCAGCTTGTACCACAGTTTTTTTGGAGACTATATCTGAGAATATTCTGCTGTTGCTCTTCGTTGTATGATGGGAATATTTTTCACATAAATCTCTAGCATCTTAATAAAAAATTAATCAAGTTACATTTCCTTTATATGAAGATGTGGATTCTTTGTGTTTTCCCACTTGTATGTGGCTGTCTACACATGGATTTAAGGACTTGGACTTGGCTGACATAGGAAATGGGGTGTTGCTTGCAAGTGCAAGGTAGAAATTAAGTGAATGTAAATTAAACTATCAAGCAAAGAGCCCTAACAGTGACACCTCTAAGGCTGTTGTACAGCCTTCCAAAGAAAGCAGTAGATGATTCACCATTTCAGACATTTCAATCCAATCTAGAAAGCTGTAGTAAATATATTGTAGGGAACATTCCCTGCACTGGCAGGGGGGTAGACTAAATGAGCTATTACCAGTAGTTGTTTTCCATGTCTGACTGATAGTTGGCTAGGAGCGTGTTTAGTATAGTCGCCAATTTTTCTTCTTTTTTTTTCACTTGGAGAGCACTGGTGACATTGGCAGAAGAACACTTCTTGTGTTTGAGAAAGGTCTGTGTAGCAGGGTTGTCCTAAAAGCAGGCTATTTTCAGAGGAGGCATAGACACTGATAGCCTTAATCCTTCCCTAAAGGTTTTTTCAGAAAGGATTTCATAGAATCTGGCTCATGTGAGAGGGTGTGGTGGTATTGGAGATATCTGTGGATTAGCTGCTACCCGTATTTTCTGGTCTTTTAAATTCAAAGTCAAATGATGCTGGATAGGAATAATAGTGCTGGTTTTGGGTTTAGTGTATGATTCATACCTTTTGATATTTCTTGGTATTTTTTCTTCCCTTCCCTTTTAAACCACTGTCCTGGGTAGAAGGAGAATTTCTACAGAATGATTATGAGAGTGAGGTAGTCAGTTCCTCTGTGTCTGTTGAACTCTTCTATAAAAAAAACAATAACAGCATAAATGAGAAAGATGGTGAGTTGCATTTAACTCAGTTTTTGATATGTTTATGCAAGACTTTTTCCTTTAAAAATATTAATCAGTGGCAGCAACAGTGATAATAGTTATTGCCAATTTAAATCCTAATCAGGGCAGCATAAGATGATAAAACAGGTAGTAGTATCCTGACAGCTGTTGTGCACTGTGCTGCTAACAGTGAGAAGGCTGGATGTGGGGAGCTAGAGAGGTATCCAGCACCCAGGTTCTCTCTTCCCCTTGATTACAGAGGGATGTTAATAAACACCTTACAGTTTCTGTAGGTGTCAAAAAGTATTAATGTGTCTTTGTCCTAAGTTTCTGACAAAAACATAATTGTCATTCAAAACTGGAAGTACTGATTTTGATCCCCATGAAACATAAACAGTGTTTAAAATTTGAAATGCTTTCAAAACAGGCAGTATTTTTTCCCCCTATTAATCTGATAAAAAGATAATGGAAAATGGATGAAAGGGCAAGGAAACATTGAAGGGGGACACCAGATCAAATCCTGTGTACAGAATTATCCTCCACAGCTCATTTTCCTGTAGAGGAACAGGTCTTAATGTGCAGTATATTGCAATATGCTGCTACTCTGGTTCTACTAAAACTTCGCTTATAGTGAAGCTGCAAATAAAAACCTGGCTAGCTCTAAATTTCCTTTCTTCCTTTACCTTTTTTTTTTTTTTTTTTTTCCCTCAGCTGACCAGTTTGCGAGAACAGCTGCTAGCAGCTCATGATGAGCAGAAGAAACTGGCTGCATCACAGATCGAGAAACAACGCCAACAAATGGAGCTGGCTAAGCAGCAACAAGAACAGGTGAGTGATTATTATAGTGGCTTTCAGCTTAAATAATTTTCTAGGAGGACTTTCTGGTAGTTTATCTTTTAGGGTTGATACTCATAAGTTTGCTCTCCACCCGATTTTTTTTTTTTCCATTTGTTTTCTTAGGTGGAGAAGTTTGAACAAAAATAAATTGGAAGAATAATTTAATTTGCAATATTTAATTTGCAAACCAGTGCTCTGTCTTGTAGAATACACCTCCCATTTTGGAGATACTGTCTTCGAATAGTGGGGTTTTTTTAAAGAAAGTGTAAATAAGCATGCAAATTCAGCACTCCTGAATAATCTTCTAATGCTCCTTGAATTCAGTGAGCTGAATAGGCAAAAAAGGAACAATATGCAACACTTGGATTGTAATGTGAGAAATGAAAAAGTTGGTTTTGCCAGCTGTGGAAAAAAAGTGGGGGAGAAGAGTATAAAGTCAGTGAACAGGTGTGACTTTTCTACGCTTGAAAGGCTTAATTTTCATCTCTTGTAAATAAGCCCTCCACTGAAAATGCAAACATGTTTTCACATGTGAACAGTTACAGTGTGCATACACAGACACGTGACATTTTATGCAAGAACATAAATTTCTAACAAATTTGCACCATGCATGTCTTAACAGAAATTAATGTCTGGTTTTGTACCTGAACATGAGCAGAGAATACTTAAGACATCTCATTTAAAATTTTGTCAAGAGTCCACACAGTGCTTCTTATCTGAAAGTGTTTTGGTCTGCCTGACCATTTATTTCAGCTTGTAATGAAATTTTGAGTTTATACCATAGAATTGCAGCCATGTGAATTTTATGAAACAACATTCTTTGAAATCTGTCGTAGTTATCATAAACAAGTCTTAAGATTCTAAACTATTACTGACATCTACAGACGTTTTAGCCTTGGTTTTCTCTATTTTTGATTATTTAAAAATCTTTTAAATATTGTGTATTTTAGCCTCACACCTGAAATCCCATATAGGGAGAATAGGAAAAGTGACTTAATCTATTAAACTAGAGAATTTGTATCACTCTGTTGTTTAAGTGGAGAAGGTAGATGAAGGTGTGAAGGTAGGATTAATAAGATTCTTCCACAAGGAGACATCCTGCAAGAACTGTTTCCTTTGCCTGACCTTTTAAAGTCATTACTGCTACAGGATGGCTGAATGGTCTGAAAGTGAGAAAGAAAATGGAGAGAATGAAAAACAGCAGTAAGAATTCCTGCAGGATTATTATTAGGATAACTAAGATTTATTTTAAGAAATTTGGGTGAAAATTCTATTATACAGAAATTAAAATAACCAAACTTTAAAAAAAAAAAGTATTGATTTAAAATTATTTTGGATGCTTAAAGAGAGGCTCTATAAAGAAAACACTTAATCTTTTAGATGTGATAGCTATGGGTGTTTCTTATGCTAATAGTTTAATAATAGAAGTGAAAGAAAATACCTAAGGGGAAGAATGCACAAATTCCTCCCAGTAAGTATGTGTAAGTTCCCATCTGACCCTGAGATGTGTACACATACCACAGGGGAAGAGCAATGTTCCTTCTAATGTTTGTACTGCTGTGCTAGCTATGCATGAGAGCAGAGCTGTTGTGATGACTCAGAGGAAAGTTTTTCAAGTTGTTTTTTTAAGTTTGAGGTATATAATGGTTTATCTCCATCAGTCCTCTGAGAACTCTAATGTGGTTCTGTTACTGTCTGCTTTTTCCTTCACTGTATGTAAAATGTGTCTACAGTAAGGTTCCCAGTCATTTAGTCAATGGAGAGGGAGGATGGAAGTCCTTATGGAAAACACACATGACTTTGAGAGGAGACTTGTGATGACTCCATCAGCTTCTATAGATCAGTTTCAATGTTGAGCTGCGTAGCCTTGCACTGCCCCTTTAGTTCCCTGTGGCAGATATTGAAGAGTCAGTGATTCTCCCAAACCCAGTTGCAGTCTCTTTTTGTCTGTTTCTGCATCAAGGAAGTATGCACACCTAATACCTGCTTTCTGCGTGTCAGGTTTCCTTTTTTGGAATTTTTGAATAGGTGGTGCCAAACACAAGAAGGCTATACTTTTTTGCCTTTCCTGCCTGCTCTGCTATTTTTCATTTTCTCTGCTAGTACTGTTTTTCCTCCAGCAAGTTGGAGCAAATGAATGCTCATTTTGGGGGGATTTTAGCAGTGCCATTTCAGATAATGAGAGAGGAGATTTTTTGCATCAGTCCTTATCTTTATATCCCCCACAACATTTTGTGTAAGATTCTCTTTCACACTAGTATTATCAGTGAATTGCTCCTGAACATGAGCCCATTGCCTTCAGGGGCAATGCAGGCTGCTGCCACCCACACTTAGAAGGTTTCTTAGCTTAATAGAGCAGTTTAAAGCACCAAGCAGGGTTGAAGTTTCCTATGTACCAACTCCGGGAATGGTGATACATATTTCACATTTACTCTGTGCACTTTCTCTACAGATTGCAAGACAACAGCAGCAGCTCCTGCAGCAGCAGCACAAAATTAACCTTCTTCAGCAACAGATCCAGGTCAGAGACTGTGTCTCCACCCGTGCCCCTGTTACCTCTCTTTTTTCCTTTCCATTTTCTCACGCTTTCCTTCAGTCTTTATTGTCATAGTTGCTTTAAGAATCTCTGCAGATTGCTTACATCTTATTTATGGAAACATAACCTGTCATTAAGCAAAACAGATCAGTTTCTGGAAGGCCTTGTATGATTAACACAGCTCCTGTAGGATCAGGATGCAGATGTGAGAGGAGCTGGTCATGTGAGCAAGGGTCTGTAGGACCAAGTCCTCCTTCAGCTGTAGATCAGGAGTAGCAAAAGTGCCACCAGAAAGAGTTGGATTGGAATGGGTCTCCTACAACTCTGTTTTTGAGGTTTCGCGGAAGCAGTTCTCTTCAGTAATCAGGAATCAATCAAGTGTATCTCCTTTCCTCTGCACCAGATGTTGAAAGTCCAGAAATTTTCATCACTGAATTCAGGTGAAGTATTGTCTGAAATGAGAAACTGCTCAAAAGGTTGGTTAGATTCAGGAGAACACCTGTGTAGATCCTAGATATCTACAAATTTACTCCTAATAGTAGAAAAAAGTTGTTAACCCAGCATAACCAGTAAACTTCTGGTTAACTTCTTTTTTCCTTAAAGTATTCAGAAGTTTTTTTTCATGTGACTGACTGTATTTCATTACTTTTCTTCCATGTGTATATATGCATGTCCCTGTTCTGGGAATAATGCAAATCAGTTTGTCCATGAAGGTTTTCACAGAGTGATAAAGGAGGGTTTTGACATTTTGCAGAGATGTAGAATCATGGTAAAATCTCTGGCTGTTTATAAGTATGCAATTATGTACAGAACATTGCAAGTCGATGTGGAAGTGGATGCTATGTTCTGTTTGTTCAGTAACAATAGGATATTCCTTCCAAAGCTTCTCATTAAAGTTTCAATTTGTTGCCTAAAATCATGGGCCATATCCATAACTCATCTAAGAAAACAAGTTCAGCAAAATCAGATGAGTTGTATGGCTTCACACTAGAAAAAAAAATGGCTTTATCATTTCACAGGATATTCTGTCAGTATCAGAACTTGTATAATTATGAAAAACTTTTGGGGAAGGTCCACCTCTCTGTTACAAGGCCACGTCTATACAAGAAGTGCTTTACTGAAAATTTTGAGATTGGTAAGGCCTGGCTTGGCCTTGACCTCTATATATTTTTCTTCAAATTTGTGTATGGGAGGGATTTTTTTTTATTGCTGTATCTTTAATAAGACTTTAAAAGAAAAACGATAGTAGAGCCTCTACAATAGCAGGAAAAATATTTATATTTTTAGCATTTACCTATGGCAATGAGAGGGGAAGTTGTTTTATAAACAGTGAATAATAGTAAATTGAAGTAACATAATTTGACTCCAACCCTTTTAAGTTTTAAGGCCTTGTAGATAAGAATGAAGTATGTTGGTTTTAAGGTAGTGGAGAATACTGATTATTGATAATGAGATATAGACCCTTTCATCTTTTGATTCCTGGTCCAAGTTTGACATTAGTCAGTAGTAAATGAAAGTCAGCTAGCTACCATCTGATATGAGCTACAAGCCAAAGAAATGATTTGGAGGTCTGCCTCACAGGATTTCAGATGAAATATTGACCCTGCTGAGGTCAGAATTTCACCTCCAGGGCCCACTTCACACAGAACCCATCAGATTTGGGGCACACTCCTTTTGGATAGTTGCGTGATAAAGGTCAAGAATTGAACAGTCAGAGAGACAATACCATTCTCTCATTTCCACAGAGATGATCAGTCTGTGGTGAAATTTTGATTATACTGCCTGCCTCTTGACAGTTCTGTGGTCTATATGGTCCTGAAGTCACATAAACCTTGGTTGCAGTCCAGTTATTGTGCAGTCACTGATAGGAAAAAACATTTAAAAATAAATTTTAAAAAATCCTTGTTGGCAGTGAATACAAAGCAAAATGTTTCTTCTCAATTGTGTGCTTAGTTGACTGTTAGAGAGAAGAAACAATTCCTGAAGAAATCTTCCTTTGTATATAAATGAAGACAATGAAGTCACCCTAACATGCCCACATTTAAAACAGTCTCTGAGTTTACAGTCAGGTTATGGTAGGTGGAACAAAACTGTGACATGAATGTAGCTGTGAGTTCAGCTTTTCTGACCTTGCCCTTATTAATCTAACAGGCTTCTGTCACATTGGCCCGGAGATTTTAAATAGCATTAGATTTATTGACAGGGAAATATTCCTACAAAGTCTGGATAAGTGTTTGACTTATGTGCAATTGAATGATTAGGCTGCAGTTATGAACACAACCTATTTATGACAAAGGATTCGTTTTACTTGAGCCAATTTTTTCTAGGCTTGTAAGAGTTGCCATAATTCCAGATAAATTATTACACAGAAAAAAGCTATTGAAATATTGTATTGAAAACATAATACCCTAAGGTTAAAAAAAAAAAGCACAACCTGACCAACCCCATGATTTATGACTCCTTTCTCTAAGTGCGCTAACTTGGAAACAGTTCCCTCTCTCCTTACCCCAGCATACAATCACTGTACGCACACAATACATGAGCAATGTGTCTCTCCTCCTTAGGGGACTGCAAATGCTGAGTATAACTACAGCTCAATTAAACTTGCCACTTCTGTGATACTGAAGAAAGATGTGTTAGCTACTTGAGCTTAGAAAAATGTACCTGGCACGTGAGTCTCCAGTTGACATTATGTCTTTTTGAAGTCCATCTCTTCTGAATTAACTGGAAGGAGGTGTCTCTGATGTAGAAGACAAACAGCTTGTCTTCAGATAGAGAGTTAAGTAAGGAGATAATGCTAAACTGGAGAAAAATTGCAGAATAGGTTAAATTTAAGAATCTGTATGACCTCAAGATGCTAAAATGTGATCTGGAAAGGATTTTGTGTTCTGGCAAATGTTTTGGGTTTTGGTTTGTTGTGGGGTTTTTTTGTTTGTTTGTTGTTGTTTGTTTTTTTTTTTCCTGCTTTTCAGGATGTTGTAGACTAATTTGTGAAGAGGTTTGAGTTTCTTTGAGTAATTAATTAAACCTCCACTCATTTTATGCCACTGTGGAATGCACCCTTCTATGCACACTGCTTTCTGTTCTATTTGATCTTTGTGTGTGTGTGTGCATTGAAAAGATTTTTGCTGTAACAGTTTCTGCCTCCTGATTATTTGGGGTCTTCTCCCCTGCACATCTCAGTCTTGCTCTTTTACCAGAAACAAAACTGGAGTGTGTGTTCCGTCAACTCTTATGCATCAGCAGCCCTGAAGATCTCAGGTTGTTTCAGAACAGCTCTGTAGTGATCTGCAGCTGTAGAATGGGCTGAGGAAAGGGCTTGCAGACACCAAGTATGGCTCAACAAATTCTTGGACTGAATCTAGTTTTGTCCTTCAGGGCCCCAGGAGAACTCTCATGGTGACCTCATCTTCTTTTGTGAGGCCACAGTCTACTTCCTGGTGTCCTTGCTCTAGAACATGTTGAAGTCTGGGGCTGTGTAGCTGGCCCATCAGGTGGCCAGAGAGTGAAAGAAACCTCAAGTCCAGATGATCCTCTATTGTGACTCTGAGCTGGTCCCCAGGACAGCCAATGAGTGTGCGTGGTGTACTGTCTTGAGGGGTGTCTCTGAGATGCAGAGCTCTGTGGAGTGGTGTGGTTTACACTTTTCACTTGCTCAGAGAAAAAGACTAGCCCAGGTTGATGAATGAATTAGTTTGGTTTGAAGCTCAGTGACAAATGTTACTTTATTTGAACTATATTTAAAATAAAATATGATTGTTAACATTAATAAAGCAATTCTTATTCAGTAGGTCACTGTTGACAAAATAGGTCAACTCTGCAGCCTAAATTGTGATAAAACTGATGCTGCTAATCTCACAGTTTTGTAGAAAGCCTGACAATGTTTTATGTTTTTTTCCTCAAGCCCCAGCTCTTGGAGTCATGTGATGACAAAAATGCCAGCTTTCATTTCTTCAAAATGTAAACTTCCAGCTCTCATATTTCCAGACAAAATCTGAAATCACGAGCACTACAAGTTCCAAAATTAGAAGGCAAACAAAACGGAGGCCAAATGTTTTTTAAACTGTTCTGATTTTTATTCAAAATTTTTTTTGGAGAGCCCAGCTCAAGATCTTGGAACACTTCAGGTTGCCAATAATGTAAAACTAAAATCTCAAAGCAGAAAAAAAGCAGCAGCACTGCTTTATGATGTCTGTAACATTTGGACCATAGTTTTGTTTGACTTTTTAGTTTAATACTGCCAGTACTTGATTACTAATTTGTATGAACTCTGGGTGACATACTTAGCCCAAGAACTGAGCGCTATCTGAAACTTGAGAGTAATTCCTGCCAGACAGCAACCATATGATTACTCTGTATGTTTTAATAGTGGGTTTTCCTTTTCTTTCAAAGCTAGAAACTTGTCAGCAGATGTTCTAGTGGGATTGCTGTTAGAAAGTTTGGACCTCTGAAGAATTAGAGGATCCTGACTGATTGCAAAGTTAGAAAGGTGTGCCTCTAGCCTGCTCCGCCTGCCAGGCAGGATGTTACTCCAGCCTGGTGCCTGGCCAGATGGTACAGGCAGCTCTGGGGCCTGGTGGCATCTGACAGGTGTGCCAGGGGCCCTGATCCCAGGCAGAAAGCTTACCCTGACCTCAATGGCCTGCCTCAAAGCTTTGCAAACACTTAGTGGCTTGACTGGCAGGGAGTATGGGCACCACTGCCCTCCAGATACCACGCCCCTTCGGGTTGCAGGTTTCCTGGCTTTCCTGAATCACTCAGCTGCCCTGGGTGTCCTCCTGCCTCTGCATAAGGGTTTCCTTTGGGAGTCTGGATTCAGATTTCTGTCCTCCCCACCCGCTGTGAGCTGGCTGTGTCTCTTTCCCCATGAGTTATGCTGGTAGATGGAGCAGCCTGGCTGCGCTAGTATGTTCCCAAATCAAAATATTCCCATTCTCATTAAGTTCTGAGGTTTAAGGTGTTCCAATTCGGAATGTAATAAAATC